GCCATCGGTTGGAGGCCATCGCTAGTAGGTTGGAGGCCATCGCCCTGTGTTGGAGGCCATCGCTGGTACGGTAAAGAGTGGAGGCCATCGCTAGTGTTGATTCTTTCTTAGTAACATTTTTTGTGGAAGCCTCTGATGAGTATGTTTTGTTTTTACTTCTTTTTACCTTTTTTTTGCCAGTTGGTTGGAGGCCATTGTGGTAGAGTGGAGGCCATCGTTGGAGCCCATCACTATTAAATTATAGAGGAGGCAATCGCTAGTTGGTTGGAGTTGGAGGCCATTGCTAGTACGTTGGAGGCCATGACTAGCCGTTTGGTTTGTTGAGACAGTTGGCTCATGGCTAGCAAACGCTAGCAGTGGGGTGCTTCTCGACATGGATGGCCAAACAAAAGAAACATATAGAAAGCCCCTCTAGCTTCTAGCTTCTAGCCGGACGTGCATGCTCCTTTGAACAACTCATTCATTCATTTGGAGGTATCGTCGATGTCGATATCGTGATAAAACTTTTTTGCATGTTCACCCACTTGAGCCACGTCATCCGACCGCCATGCCGCTGTCCGACCTCTACATGGGACATGAGAAGTTGGAGACGTGACTTGGCAATGACAGCCACAGGGGCTGGGGTATGATCTCACATCCTATATCGTTTGGAATCCGATTCCCCGAAATTCCCCGCCATTTTGTTTCCAGAGGGTGGTTGACTTCATCTTGGTGGAATTCATCAAGTTTTGGATTCTGTTTTCATCCTCCTGGGATCCCAGGATGGTTGGCTCTCGAGCGAGGAGCAGGTCGAGATCAAGATCTGCAGCCGAGTTTTCAGATGGCGTAGATGAGCCTTTCGGCTTTGACATTTAGGTTGATCGTAAAAAACGGTGGATTGTAGGCTGATTTTTTTCTACAGTCACCAGAGTGTTCTTGAGATGGGTTCTGTCTTCTCTTCAATGTGTTTGTGCACTGAGGGTTGGCTCTCGTTCGAGGAGGTCGAGATCAAGATCTGAAGCCGAGTTTTCAGATGATGTTGAGCCTTTCGGCTTTGGCATTCAGATTCAGATCGATTAAATTATCGGTTTCAGTGATTCCGATTCCTGTCTTTTGTGGTGGCAACTTCAGTGTTTTAATTCTGATGTTGATGAAGAAAACAAAACCGGCGCAAATGACACCCAGGAAGACACCGCAGTGCATTGCCTGGTTAGACACATGGCGACAGAAGATTCCTGCATTCGCATCAGCCTTGGACCGCTATGCTGCTGGGCTACGGCGGCAATTAGTGGCTCAACGCACACAAATTACAACAACTCGTTGGTTTGATAAAATTTGATTGGGGTCACGTCGGACTTATTGTCGTGAGTCATGAGTCGTAGCTGTCCAACATTGTCCTTGACGAGCTGTGCGACTGCCATTTGTTCGCTGAGGTGGTTGGCACAGGCTGCAGCGGAACAGGGGCACCATCTCACGCCCTAGACCAACTGCTGCCGGGTCGCTTTGTTGAAGTCATCGCCAGTGAGAGGCATGCATCTGGGTTGCAAGTCAGCTGGCGTATGGGCAAGGTTGAACTTATGATTCATGAAGGGTTGACATGATTCATTTGATTCGGTTCATATCAGGCGTGGTACGGTTTCACTCAGATTGTTTGAGTTTGAGGCACCGACGCGTGAGTTCTTCCTGGCGAACAATTGGGTCGAGCATTGTTGGAGCGATATCCAGGGTCCGCGGAGACTTGATCTAATTTGAACTGAGGGTGGGCGAGCGGTAGGGAATGGCTCGGCTTTTACGAGCAAAGCAAAGAAATTGGTTCTGGGCAGCCCCGCAGCCCAACTCATTTCCTACCCAACCCAAGGGTTCAATGAGCCCACTGACCGTTGGTGAGTCAGTGCGCTACCCATTCTGAGGATTGGTGGCTTTTGCGCTACCCATGGACAGCATTGCGATGGAGTCCCGCCAGCTGGTGATGCTGCTCATGTTGCTCTAGACCTATTCGTTTGCGGCCGTGTGCAAATTGTTTTCAGCTGAATCTTCGGTGCGGTACAGCTGGACAGACGTAGCATCGATGTTTAGATCTGAGTTTGGTACAGACACTTGACTTGATTCATTCCCAAGGTAGGGCACGGTGTTCAGCGCTTTGTCTTGAGTCTTGCCACCTTGCAGCTAGTTCAAAGTTCAATTTGAGTCACCTTTCCCTCAGGATGAACGAGCAATTCCATTTGTGGAAACGAGCAGATTTATCAGATCTCACCGACCAAAGATTCTTACCCGCAAGTCAGCTGGCCATGGCAATGAACTTGAGTTAGATTAAGATTCAACCTAGATGGCTGACAGTTGAAGCGGAGTAGTGACTATTACTATTACTACTGCCAACTACTGACTACTGACCTACCTCGTGAACCCAATCAAGCTCGAGTCGAGCCACTCACTTTGTTCGAGCGTTTTGTCACCAAGGGCAGTGGTGCTAGAGAACGTGCACGGCTGTTTGCGGAAATTGCCCAATGTGGGTGAGCATGATCCATACAAGGCGTGATTGCGATCAAGGGCCGAGTGGCGTGGTAGGAGTCAGGAGTGGTGCATTAGAACAATTATATTATATTATACTAGTCTAGTCTAGGCTAGGTCTAGTCAAGTTCAGTTATTCCGATCCAGAGTCAGAGGTGAAAGGTAACTGTGATGGTGACTGATTGATTGATAATTGTTGCCTTGCCGGATTTTCTGGATGGCTTGGAAGGGTTTGCGCCCAAACTAGTTGCCTTGCGGCTACCGGAATGCAATGCCGCTGGATTCCATCTACAATCCAAGACGAGCTCAGCCTCGTCGTCGCCAGCAGGCGTGTTGCTAAACTCCGCGGCGAATTTATAGACGTGGCAAGAAAAATTCCTATCCTAAAATCCTAAACTACAATTTGACGTTTGACGTAACAAACTATAGATCAGATCCAAAAAACTTTGCTGCTACTACCATCACAAACACACAAACCATTGTGGACCTCATGGCTCAATTCCCTGGAAGGGTACTGAGTTCCCTGAACATCTGCGGAAGTATTGGCCAGATATAGCTCGTCCTGGTTCCGGCTACACAGTAGCTGATCTTCAATGGCTTTATGAGCAACCCCCTGGCACCGTCCTTTGGAAAGGATCCGAGGACCCACTTAAACACCCCAAATCATAAGTGTTTGTACCTGATGTAGCCTTCATACTTCATACTAAGTTAACCAAATCCTAGAAATTCAACTGGAAGCAGGTGTTAATGTGGTGAAACTGAACTGCTGCTCAGTGCATCAGGATGTTGCTGGTGCTGTTGATGATCCGGCGATAGCAGTGGGAGTCAGCCAAGATGCCGACGCTAAAGCTCTGCATGGTTTGCGTGTCAGCGCCGGAAGAGCGCAGGCATCTCACCAAAGACTAGAGCGTATGGATGATTTGGCAGGAGACCGTTGCCAGCGCATTGTCAGGACTGCTTTCGGTTCATGGGCACGTGGAACCTCAGGTGGGAAGAAAGCGTGGCTCTGACCAAATAGCTGGTGGGATTGTGCGGTGATAGTTTATTTTGATTCTTTAGTGGATTCTGGCTGGGGGACAGAAACTCATACACTGATGTATTTAATTTATAATACTATACTTCGAGTCGAAGCCAGAACCATCCAAGGCAAGACTTTGCAGTCTTTGTTTCTGCGAATGGCGACTTTGTGGGGTATGCCAAAGACAGAGACACACACCGCCAGGCAAGGTGTATGATTAGCCCGATTGAACTAAACTGAACTGAACTGATGGAAGTCTAATATAGTCTGTCTATAGTAGTAAAAAGTAAATCGAGTCGTTGGCAACGCTTCTTGTTGTGGAGCCCACTGCACAACATTGGTTGATTGGTCAGGTGCAGCGGATGAAGGAGGTTGCCACGTTGAGCCATGTAGCAGCTCAAAGGGACAAGCTTTTGGCACTTCTGGAAGCTACGACTTCGCCCAGCCATTGTGTTGTCACTCGTCTCTCCGACGATACCAACGTGTGGATTCAAGGGTCCCGGAACCAAAAGCAAGACAAGGTGGCAGGTAGATCTGGAGGCAAGAAGGTGAGCACCGCCCTGGGGCTGTGTGAGCGACTAAGTTTGCGCTCTGCTGCTGGACTGGTGACTGTTCGCCTGCATTCACCAGCTCAAATCTTGCCCAAGGCTGGGGGAGGGCGAGAGCGAGAACTTACCATGCCACCGTTCAAGTTCATTCGAAGTCGGTCGTAGTTACTATGATTTCACTGTACTCAGCACCGCATTCAACAATTACCCTTCGAATGCCCGGTCTTGTTGCAGGGCAATGCGGGGACCATTCGGAACAGGGTCAGCCGCTGGAGTGCCTTGACCAGCCAGGGCTGCTCAGAACATTTGGGTGGTCAGCGTCTTTGGAGTGCCTTTTGTCAAATGCCTTTTGTCATGGTGATCAGCAGTACCATAGTTGCTCTAGTCTAGTTTGTATTTTGCTGTGGTTTGTGTTGATTTACGTCGAATTAAATTGGATTGCGCCAGTGACTGACGATAAGTTAAGGCACAGATGCACTTCAAGCAAATGTTGTCCAAGCAGCTGCAGAGCAGAAGCAGTGGATGTCTTTAAAGGCTGCTGGAGACACCCTGGCGCAGAAGCTGGTTGAGATCAACGTTTTTTGCGCCCATCACCAGGCAAGCCTAGCAAGAAAGCCCAGCATTTTGTCAATTGAAGGCCTGGCGACTGCATTGGTTCGGATGGCTCATTCACAACACACAACCAAGTTCCAAACCCGACTGGAGACATTCTTCGACAGCATTTCAGGCAGCGTCAATAGGCGCGTGGTTGCGCAAATGCCAGATGTTGCCCTGGGCGGTCAGGAGATCAACAGGAAAACATTGAATTTGTGCACAACTGGCTGGGAAGAGCGCGACAGGGAAGCTGTGCTGAACTTCTTCAATGATGACTGGACTAGGGTTCTTGACACAGGCCTGTCCATCACCCACTGGTGTCTTCCTGGTTGCTGCAACGACCAACATGAGTGTGTCAGCAAGTGCAAGCAAAACTTGGAGCTCCTCTTGGGGAAAGCGCCGGACGTTCCACTCTTGTACAGATGGAAGCATTTTGAGCCGTGTTTGGAATATAGCTTCCGGGGGCTTGCGGTGCACCAAATCTTTGCTCATGCCCTTTGCTTTATCCTTGGCGCAGATGCAAACGAAGAATTTTCAGCAGCGCTTGAATTTGATGATGCAGATGAAGATCCAGGCCTCCGCCAGCGAGTCCGACTCAACAAAACCTACAAATTCTTTGCCTCCGAAGGCTGTTTGGTGCCTTGTTCGGCAACTGTTCACAATTTTCAAGAATCATGGTTCAAGTTGAAGTTCAAATAAACTGAAATTGACAAATAGTTCAAGTCAATGCCAATTCAACTTCAATCATCTTCAATCCAGGTCTTGTGACTCCTGACAGCCTGACAGCTGTTGAAAAATGTTGCCCGTCATTTTCCTTGCTTTTGAATTTGCATCGCTTTTGAGCAACAAAGGTAAAGCTTGCGAAAGCAGCAGCAGTTACCCGTCCTTTAGCTACCTACATGGATAAGGTGAGCTTTGTGGAATCGGTGCGCCAAAGAATCTACCTCCGCAATCAAGGCCTTGTGTTGCCTCGCAGCAAATGCACCGCAACCGTGGATGAACTGATTGCCATGAATCACGAAATCATCAGCGGAAAACTCGGTTGGCAAGCCGTCCGTGAGCTTTTCGAAATGCTGAGAGCACCCGATGGAGCAGACTGTTGGCTGCAGTGGCTAGGTCCAGTGCTGCAGTACCAGGATTGTTTCCAGCTGATATTGCCGGCGATGTGCAATGCTTGGCGGCGGTGTTTCCTTACCAAAGCCCACTTTGGAGGATCTTTGACGCTGTTGTGCTTAACACTGAGGAAGCCTTGGCTCACTGGACTCATCTAAAGCAACAGGCAGACAGGTCTGGATGTCAAGGGTGCCAAGATCCTTCATTTTCTCAAATCCTTTTGGATTTTGTGCTGGTGAATGACTTGGACAACGAGGACCAACAAAAGAAAATGGCAGATGTGACTCAGTTCTTGCGGGATGGACTGCGCGATTTGCCAGCCTCAACGGTTCAAGTGGAAAAACTACACGCTGGCTTGCAAGCGATTTGCCGCTCTGACAAGAACCATGCACCCCGCCACAAGACAGTGCACATCAACAGCTACATCATGACACTTTGTCATCAGCATGCTGCTATCAAAGGAGCGCTTGAAGACGAAGTGCTCGGTGCCAACAAGAAGAAGGCTCTTCGGCTATTGTCGGCCCGTGCTCTTCAAAGCAGTGCTCCTACAAAGTTGTCCATCCGCAGAGTGACCAAGCCCAACAAAACATGTCAGCAAAGCAAGCGCCGCCTATTTCACCACAGCGGGTGGCTCGATGTCAATTTGAGAATCGCAGTCTGTAAACTTTGCCTATGCACTGTAGATTTTTTTGCTTTCAATTTTTGAAATTGATTTGATTTACGGCCAGTTCCCACTACCTCCAAGGTTTGCTGGGAGCTCTCGGCTTTTGAAGGCTACAAGTCGACCAAGACGGACAAGTGCTTTCAATGCTTTCATACAATCGCAGAGGCGCGGAGTCGCTACAACACAAAAACAATAGGTTGGGCGACGCCCCCCCAAATGTTGCATTCATTGGCCTTGCTCTTGCTCCGCCTCAACGACTCAGGTCTGCAGGCCATCGTGAGCCCATGAATGAGTTGGCAGCCAAGTGGCGCAGGTTGCCGCAACAGCAGAAGACGTGCTTTGAAGAGAAGGCCATTGTTATGTCAGATTCTCGCGCCCGAACTACGAGGAGCGGGCTTTCAAATTGCACTTCTGCTTCTGATCTGCCACCAGATCATGAAGCTTACCTGAGCTCTCGGCAGAAGAAGAGACTTGGCCAGAGACGCCTGGATGCAAGTCTTCAACACGTGGCTGCACACTCAGTTTGGAACCATGGCCTTGCGCTCTCGGATCACATGACGCCCCTGAAGTCTTCTTTTGTTTTGGATGACTTGAACTCAAAGAACTTGACGGAGGCAGTAGAACAGGTATTTGCCTTTGACCGGGAGGTTGTCCAGAACAATGTCACGTCAGAAGAACTCCTGAAACCTTGCTGGTCGGATTGTGGTGGCTTGTGCAAGCGCTCAAAACACTATGATGTTGTTGAGAAACTGACTCGCAGTTTGCAAGATAACTTGAGTTCCGGAAAGCTGGATACACAGGCAACACTGCTGCGTTTTGAGCTTGCCTCAACAGAAGCTTCATCTTTTGGGCGGTCAGTTGTGGCCAAAGAAAACGATTGCAGTCTGAGTCAAAGGACTGTTTGGTACTTTCTTGGCTGCACTTGCAAAAGGCCTTTGTCCCATGTATTGCTCCAAATGTTCGACGCTGGTGCTGAAGCTTTGAACTTTCGCGTGAAGAATGGTTTGCCTGAGATCTTGACCTCCCAGCAATTGCTCGAGTTTCTAGTGACAAAGCGAGGCGGACAGTGTGGCAACATCACGGCAACTTTCCATACATTTAGCACCCCTTTCGTGTAGAAACTTTTAACTCAGATTTAGATTTGGATTTAGATTATCATACCAATTACTTTTTTGGTCTATCTTATCTTATCTTATCTAAGATCTATGTGACACACAGTCTACCAGTAGCCACCGTACTCAGGTTTCCGCATACGCTCCCGCATCCTATGCTGCTGTCGTGTCTTCTGAAGAGCACTTGGAAAATTCATTCATTCCATCAGTGGATCCAACATTGATCTTCGACCTTGGGGTGGAAAGGCCAAAGCGCACTGTCGCTACAAAGGCCCAACCAACCAAGCCCATCCTTCCTTTCGGTTTGGAACTGCCAAAGAAGCGGCGAGCAACTGGGAAACAGACTGCCCCAACTACTGCATCCAAGAAAAGGAGAACACACTCTGGCAGTTCTTTATTGAAGTGGGACGAAGAGCCACAAGATGAGGACCCTGAAGCAGGCAGTGCTTGTGGTAGCGAACAGGAAGACGGTGACGTAGAAGAAGTTCCCAATGATCATGCCAACGCCACCGCAAAACCTGATCAGAGTCAGAGTCATGACAATGATGATGGCGCAGACATTGTGATTGAGATGCCGGCCACATGCCACGATGAGTTCAAAAGAGCATCAGCAGTTGAGATGGCTGCACGTTCAGATGCTGCGCGGCTGGAAGCAGAAGGGAGTCAAGAGAAAGCTCCGGCAGCTTCCTCCAATCTGATTGCTGCTTCAGGAGAATGCGCTCGCGCCAGCTCTTCAGCTGGCACATTCTTCAATCGCGATCTTGGCATCAAGGGTCTGAAGGTAGTGACGAGAAAGGGTATGATATGCCTACATTGTGAGCAACCATTTTCCAAGGGTGACATGAGATTCCAGTTTGCATTTAGCGAGAAAAGACCTGAAAGGTCTATTCACACCGGATGTTTGACGCAGATTCCACAAACAAGTGTGGAGCCGTCAGTGTCTGTGCTGAAAGGTTTGCTGCAAAGCTCGAACCTTGATCATGTTCAGCGTCAGGCTTGTTTGGACGCACTGAATGTTTTGCAGCCAAGAGCAGGAACGGGTCAGGGCATTGGTGCTGGGCAGTCAGTCCGAGCAGTCTGACTCTGACTCTGACTGACTGAGTTGATTGGAGTCAACGGACGCCAATCTCCATCAACCTTTGACATTGGGGGGCAGAAGCAAAATAGAAATGAAATGAAATGATGTGCAGTTCACTGCATCGGCCAGTCACTGCATCGGCCAACCCATTAAACTTAGCTGTGCCAAGAGTGGTCTTCTTGCAGGCCCTAGTCCTACAGCTTCCAGCTTGCTCCAAGTTCTCATAAACGGACGATAGTTCTGGCAAAATTGATGTTGCTGTGTTGCGCAGGCGCCTATAGATTTCCTCCTTCACGGAGTGCTTCCGAAGACCACCGAGGAGGAGGAAGAACCTATAGGCCTCTGCCTCATTCCAAACTATCACGTCCGATTCTACATTTTAAGGACTGTTGTCGTGGAATGTTTTGAGCAGGGATGTCGGGATGTCCTGTATTTTTACTGAGCACAGGCTAAGAAACTAACGACTATGATAATTGATAATAGTAATAGTCTATAGTCATAGTCATAGACTGAGACTAGTCTATAGTCGATCAGTCTGAACAGTCGTTGGCGTCGGCGTTGTCTCGGGGCTATTGTTGAACTTGCATTGCCTTTCAGGAGCTGCGACTATGGGTTGCCACAACTGCGGACCCGCCTCTACTTCATCATGGTCCGACATGATGTGGCAGGCACAGAAGCTTTGGACACTTGGTGGGAAAGTAAATCTGAATTTGAATCATATCATTATCAAAGAAAAATGATACTGCATCCAGAGAGAGAGAGAGAGCGAGAGATAGTTTGAACGACCATAACAATCATGATTCAGGATCTAAATCATATCATGAATCAACAGAATGGATGGCCATGTGACCAGTAAATTATAATTCAATCGTCTCCATGGGTATATCTGAAGGTGGGTCTAATAACTACTGACTTGCTGTTCGCTGTGCTTTCTTTCATGGCAGCGCACAACGGCGCCGGTAGTCTTAGGACTTTGCTGGTAATTTCATGACAGCGGCCAAGAATGCCATTGATGAGAAGTCAACCATTTGGGACATCGATCAGTATGCTAAAGCAGTACCTTGGCTGATCAGGGACCGCCGTCCGGGACCGCGATGACTGACTGATCAATTGACCACTAGATGGAGGGGTCTGTTTGGTGCAATCACGCGGCATGAATTGGATTAACGATGCTGCTTGCGTGACCGCATCCGCGATCTTGGATCTTGCATGTCCTTTTGCTGGGCGATTCGATTCGGTGATATGATTCAGCGTTGAAGTTAAAGGTTGCTGTTACCAGATTTTCCCATGGTTCACACAAAGTGGTTCCGGGATTCTGGATTGTCACCATTTGGGGTCGAACCTGTGGGTGCTAGTGATCTTGTTCCCGTGCAGCAACATCGATCGAGGACGTTGACCCATTTTTCAGGGACTAGTCGGACAAGCTAAATGACTGACCGACCATTGGTGAATGGCGGAGACGGGTGGAGCCCTGCTGGTTGGGAAACTTGTGGTGATTCATGCGGTTGGTGATCCATTGGCCAATTGGAATCAATCCTATTATATATTATAGTCATAGTCATAGTCAAGTCATATAAAATGTTCATCAGGACCAGGGCCGGTCGATGTGACCATGGACCATCATGATGTGAGCCCCTCGTATCGATCCCGCGTTGACGACCGACCTCACACCCGTCACTAGACCTTGATATGCTGCTGGTAATGCCGATGATCATTGAGAAATGGCTTCAAAGCTGTTGAAACATCAAGGAAAGGCAGGAACTGAAGGACTTTGTCCAGCAAACTATCCAAAAACATTGAATTCTGACAAATTTTCCAAAAATCCGAAATTTCAAGAAATGGCCTCAAACCTCTTGAAACATCAAGGAAAGGCAGGAACTGAAGGAATTTAACCAGGAAAAAACTAAGAATTAAAAATTAACTAGCAGGTTTTTTGCACTTTTTCTCCTCTCCCCCTGTCTCTGTGTCTCTTCCCTTAACGGGAGACTGAACCCTGGCAGCGAAGGAGTGACCGGTCACCCGGAGGAGCGCCGTTTCGGTCCCATGGTCCCACACGTTCGGTCCTTCACGGCGGTCCGGGCGCCGTTCGACTCAAAGAGGCTCCAAGACTCCAAGGGCCCAAGGACTGACCTTTCGCCGTTGGAGTCTTGGAGTCGGTGGAACGGTCACTCCTTCGCTGCCGGTACGGGGTTGGAACGGCAGAAGTCGTGGGTGACCGGTCTCTCGGAGCGGCGCTCCTGTGGGACCGGTGGCCGCTCCGTTAAGGGAAGAGACACAGAGACAGGGGGAGAGGAGAAAAAGTGC